TGCACCCATGGGCTAAACTCTGAGTTTCCAAGCCCCCAAGTCAGCCCGCACTATTTCAAATAATCGTGCACCCATGGGCTAAACTTTTAATCTGAACTAACTTTGTTAAAGGACTTAATAAAGTAAGAACCTATTAAACACAACAGTTAAAGTTTGGCAGCAAACAGAAAGAGATTTATTTAAACATAGAAATAGAAATCCAGTTCTATGGAGTTAGATCAGATGTCGCAGCATATCAAAATGTGAACAATTTTCACACATGACCTGAGTAATAATACGTGAAAATTTTATATATATGAACAGCAAGTCTGTCAGCGAGACCTCAATCTGTTGCTAATAGATGCCCTACTACAAGTTGATTGAACATTCAAAACTATTTACATTCTGCTCATGTCCTTACAGGCACAAGTATATAGTCCAAGCAGGAAGAGATGCAGGCTTGTTCAACCTGATATCTAAAGCTTCTCAAGATTATTGAACCTTTCAGATATTTCTTAGATGCCACCTAACCCACTGATCCTTCAAGCTTCAAGCTCATGAGTTGGTTCACCTCGGCTCCAAACTCATCAGGGAGCTCGTTGAAGACATCGCGGCAGAATCCCGATATCATGGCAGCCATGGCCTTCTCATAGTCTATTCCTCTCTGCTGAAAATAGAACAACTGATCTTCGCCAATCTTGGAGGTACTGGCTTCGTGTTCAATGCGAGCTGTGGGATTCTTCACCTATTAGAATCAAGAATGTGTGTTATTTTAATGACCAGAAGGATTAACCACCAATAATATTAAAAATGAAACCTAGGTTTCCTCATCTCAAGTATCTCATCTTACAAAAGCTCTAGGCTTATCCTTACCCTTTTTTTTTAGATGGTTTTGGAAATTTGCTAACGAATATTCTCCCATCAATTACAGTTCTTTCAATAATAGCAAGTTTCAGAACCAATTTACATGCATCTCAACTAACTCCACAAAATAATTTTCCAACTCAAAAACATTTGACAGCAGAAAACTTGTAAACTATGGTTTGAACCTATCTTTCCTCTAGATCTACAAAACTTGCTCTAGAACAACCTACAGTGGTTCCATCAAAAGTCAAATAAGAGACGTGAAACCATTTAAGGTGCCCCCCCTCAACAGCCAGAAAAAGAGAAAAAGAGTCCAGAGTCTATCTAGACAAGCATTTCTTTAGAACTGACAAGGGAAAGAACCCTCTAATTTCAAGAAACAAATAAAATAAAAGTCTCTGCAGTATACCTCAACAAATGTATATGTATTTACAATTCTCTGCTGTTGAGCATGCCCAGGTCATTTCGTATAAACAGAAATATACGAGAATTGAAAATGCGTTGGGTGCCAAACTTCTAAGTCATGAAATTTAAACAACAGCTTCATAGATAAAGATGACAATGGATGCATGATAGGATCATTTTTCTGGAGAAATTTCAGAGAAACCTTGCTATTACTTCCGGATTGTTCTCTCATCAAAAAATTGTTTGCAGAATAATCACTAATTAGTTCTCGCTCATCAAGCTTCAGAGAGTTTTCTACTTTGAAAGAAGATTCCAATGGTGATTTTTTTTTTTTTTTTTGGTGCAAGACTCCAATGGTGATTTGAGACTACACTTTCAACTGTTGGTATAGTAGGAAATATTTTGGGTCAAATGGTAAGATATAGGCATTTTTCCAGGACAAACCATTTTGAAGCATTGAACACTAGGAGAAAGGTCAGTTCACTACTCTTCTTCGGAGTTCCGAAGAGATTTGATATATATATTTATAAATGTATGAGAGAGGGCAAGCGTATAAAAACATAGAAGAAGTTGCAAGTCTTTGGGGGGCCCTTCTGTATATCTTTTGTTCATGATTGAAATCTTTAGTCCGAATTCTCAGATAACCTTGACACCCCCATCCTCCCCTCACACACGCAAAAGGATCTAGATAGAAAATGATCTAGATAGTCATGTTAACACACGCAGACCATGAATCAAATACATAAAGGCACTGAGAATAGGCAACTATTAATTACCTAATGACAATTGGAAACAAACAAATCCTAACATCAAAGGGCATTACCTGGATGTATGGATAAGTGTTGGCAGCAGCCTTATCACCGATGAGCATTGAATCACATTGTGATGAGTTCTTGGCATTGTCTGCTTTGGATTGAACCTGGACAAGGCCCCTATAACAGTTCCTTGAGTTGCCAGCAGAAATACCTTTTGAAATAATCCTACTTCTTGTGTTCTTTCCTTTATGTATCATCTTTGTACCCGTATCAGCCTGTTGATAATTATTCGTCAGTGCTACCGAATAGAACTCCCCAACAGTATCATCTCCCTCCAAAACAACACTAGGATACTTCCAAGTAATCGCAGAACCTGTTTCTACTTGTGTCCAAGATATCTTAGAACGAGCGCCCGCACAAAGGCCACGCTTCGTAACAAAGTTATAGATCCCCCCCTTTCCTTCTTCATCGCCAGCATACCAATTCTGAACTGTGGAGTACTTAATCTCTGCACCTTCAGCACAATACAATTCAACCACTGCGGCGTGAAGCTGGTTCCTATCATAGGAAGGGGCCGTACATCCCTCCAAATACTCGACAAAACTTCTGTCATCAGCAACAATCAAAGTTCTCTCAAATTGTCCAGTTTCCAAGGCATTTATTCGGAAATAAGTCGAAATCTGCATCGGGCACTTAGTGTCCTTGGGTATATAACAAAATGATCCATCACTAAACACCGCTGAGTTCAATGAAGCATAAAAGTTGTCCTCGCTAGGCACAACTCTCCCCAAGTACTTTCTAACTAAATCAGGGTATTCCCTAATTGCCTCTGATATCGAACAGAAAATCACACCTGCCTTCTCTAGCGTCTTCCTATGAGTAGTAGCAATTGAAACACTATCTAGAACAGCATCAACGGCAACATTAGCTAGACGGTTTCGTTCATTTAAAGGAACCCCGAGCCTATCAAAATACATAAGCAGCTCTGGGTCCGCCTCCTCAAGGCTATTCAAAGTGGGTTTCTTCTTAGGGGCGGAATAATAACATATATCTTGAAAATCAATTGGAGGGTATCGATTATCAGACCACGCAGGTTCTTTCATCTTTAGGAACTTCTCGAAAGCATTCAACCGAAACTCCAGCATCCAATCAGGTTCTTCTTTGAGCGAGGAAATCAATCGAATTGTTTCCTTGGAAAGTCCCTTCGGAATCGAAAATGAATCGATATCCATAGTAAATCCAAATTTCTTATCGTAATCGCGGTTACGAAGAATATCCTGAATTTTCTCATCGGTACTGGGAGCTGAGGGCGAGGGCTTACCTGGAGTAATTGGACCCGAATTCGCGGTTTTGGGACCGTACCCGACATCTGCTCGGACTGTGAAGGGCTTCGACTTGGGAATCTTCAAGTTAGCGATTCTGGGGCTCTGAAGCTTTGGGATTATATCTTTTGATAATTCCCTAGTGGGCTGGGGAGGAAACCGTGAAATTCCATTAGCTAACAGAGAAGCCATGGATGACGATGGAAGGGAGAGGAGAAGTCGATACTCCCCTAAATTTGCCGATGCCGACTTTGGGTTTGGGTAAGCTAAAGTGGAGGGAAATCGGTGTTATTTTGTGGCCATAATTTTGGTGGTCGACATATGGCAATTTGCAACGATTGTCTCGTGGGCAACACGAGCCACGAGACGATTCTCAAAAAATAAATAAATAAATAATAATAATAAATCTAGAAATTTATGTAAGATACAAATAATTCAATATATTGATTAAATTATAATTTTAATCCCAATTTTGTGTCTAGTAAAATTCTAAATTTTCAATTTTATGGATTCAAAATATTTTTAAAATGCCAAACATGTCAAAGACTATTAGATATAAAATTGAAAGTGTAAAAACATGTTACAAACAAAATTAAAACTTCACAGATCAAATTTTATAGTTAATATACTGATTCGCATACCTAAATTTGCAATATAGCCTAAATTATTCAATAGAAAATTTCAATAAAATAATAAAAACTTCATATCCTAATTTATTTAGGCATTACAATAACCCTTTCTTTGTTCCTCCAATTGTAGGAAGTAATTATGCTCGTGTCAATTACAGTAACACTCTTCTACTATTGTCACTTACATTTGCAAGTATTACTTATCTAATCAAAAGTTCAAATATTCCACTTTTATTGAACTTTAAAAATAAATTTAAAAAATAAAGAAATTACATTCATCTTCCTTTTAAAGTTCAATAGTTATTAACACATTTTAAAAAGCAATTTATAAAATTAGAAGTCCAATTACCTATTAATCATTTGTTAAAGTTGAAAGCCCCCATTAAACACAGACTTCACATTATATAACTAGAAACAAGCACAAAATTACTTTTTAAGATAATTATTACTCAATAAAACCACATGTACTATGTAGAATTAATACTAATAATCATCAAAAAGTTTACCAAATAATAAATGTCAAACCATAAATTATCGTAATGCTAAACCTAGAGGTAATATTTTGTACTTCAAACGTTCCCTTTGATATGACACAAGTCAGCAACACAGCCAATTCAGTTCCTGTTTGCGAAATAACTTCCAGGAAGGTGTATAGGCAGAAAGCATTCATCAATTGACGATAGCAAATGAACCATTAATATCACATCCACCATACCAAATAATCGAAGTGAAAAATCATGGACTGTATAATCAGTTGGTCATGCCATTGTATAAATCGGTAGGAACACTTACTGCTAATCTAGTGTGCTTTCAGATTGACCCTCTTCTTCAAAAGACAAGGATTTAATCATCGAATTAAAATAAACACAAGGCACACAACCAAACTTCTAAGGAAAAACATAATAATAAAGGCAATTCATGTCATCCGGAGTTATTGGTAAAATAGAGAATAAAAGAGTTCAGAGAGAATGGGAGGAAGGAAGGCAATAACTTTTCCAAAATCTTTAGCCAATCACGTAAGAGGGGGAGAAGACTCGGTAGGGGGAGGGAGGCCAGGGCACAGAGTAAACAAAACTTCAAATCTACATGTATCCTCCTTGCTGTTGCTGCGGTTGCTGTGGTGTTGGCTGCTGGTAATTACCGTACCCACCGTAGCCACTGTAGAACATGTTAGGGTCCTGCGGAGCAGCAGCGTAACTGTAGTTTTCATATCCTTGCCCATAACCATAATAGCCACCTCCATTCCATTGGTTAGGATCCGCCTGAGGCTAAAACGTAAGAAAAAATCACAAATTACTTCAATAGTACCATAAAAAAACTATCCTCCAACACTAGACAAGTAAAATACTACTACCTGTTTATTTGAAGGACTACGGCCCCATGAAAGTCTAATGTTCTGCCCACCTATTTGTGTTCCGTTCAACATGCGTAATGCTTCCTCCGCACAGTTTCTATCATATTACAAAATGAAAATAACTGATAAATAAGCCATAACCAATTTAAAAGTGTTTAAGATACATGGATACACTCACACACTTGAAATTACATACCTGTCGGAAAATTGAACAAAACCACATCGTTTACCTACAGGGATCTTTACATGCACCAGTTCCCCGTACTGGCTAAAAACTTGTCTCAAGTGTTCGTCTGTCACATTAGAATCCAAGTTCCCCACAAATATCTGAAGGATAGCCAATTATGAAATTAAAAATAAGTAAATCAAATTATATGGCAAAAGAATAATAGTGAAGTACCCACAGTTGTATTATTTGGATCATTCTCATTTTGAGACCCTTGAGGACTCTGGTATGAAGCTGCATGATAAAAAAAAAATTAAATTAACGTGACATTTGCCCAATAACTTGAAATATACACTTCTAAAATTGTCATTTTATTAATAAATAACAGTGAACCAAAACACATTATAAACATTATTTTGTTGCAATCCATGCTTTGATAAACAAAGAAAACTATATATTCATGGATGAAGAAACCAATTTTCCATCACAAGAAAACCGAAACTTGAAACACCAGAGATTTTGAAGGCATAACATGAAGGTTAGAATATACAGAGAGAGAAAAACACATGCACACCAAACATAATGAATGCAAAATGGGTCAAACATTCATGATTCCATATCATACCCATTTTGGAAAAGAAACAATCCATTGAATAACACAGGGTAATTACAAAAGAAAGGTAAATAATAAGGCATCACATCCTGAAGAACGAGAAATCACAGAAAGCCTCCATAATTGGTAATAAAAAAAATCTGTTGACTCCACACAACCATATAAATACCATACTTAAGCTCCTACAAAATATATTTGGCCAATCAATCAGATAAAAGTGATTCAAAGAAAGAAACAGTGGGGACCTTGACAAGAAAAATAAACTAGAAGAGGTGCCTTACACAAAAAGAAAAAAAAAACACTAAAAGAGGTGAAAGTAACCAACCAGTACATTAGCAAAACCAATCAAAAGAATCCCATTTAAAGCAGAGGAACATACAACATATACCCTGAATTTCTAGATCCAACACACTAAAAGAAAAATAGAATATTTCTAAGACAATATAATATTTTAAAGCAAATGGATTCTTCTGTTTAAAAGGGATTAAATCATCACACATTGAGAAAAAAAACATAGGAAAGTAAATCCCATAAATGGTACAATCTAGAGGTGAAGACCTGCACAACCTATGTGGCTTGCTATAGCTGTTGTAGAAGGATTGTCAAGAGAATCAAACTAGCCTGCTATCCCAGTTATTTGAAATTTCAATAATTCATCTGGCTAAAGAACCTAAGTGGACTAAACTAAAAAAAGTACTAATGGAATTAGACATTGTGAAATGGCAGGGAGAGAAAGAAAAACCCATGCAAATGAAGGGAAAAACTTAACTTGCAGAACTAAAGGTGAATTTAAAAACGTAGCATAAAATATGCCACATTAAAGTAAAGGGTAAGACATTGGCGGTTAAAAACTGACCTAAATGAAACAACTTACTAAAGGGTAAGCATGTCAGCTGAAATCAGTGGCGGACCCCAAGCTGACAGAGCCTTTTGACACCCTGCTTAGAGAAAAGAGTTTTATAAGTTTATGAATCTTTTTTATAGCAGTTACAGTGACCAAAGTTCGAAATGGAAGTACAGGAAGGAAAAGGCATGAAAGGCTACTGATCTTCCAAGGTATAACGAGGGGGAAATTTAAATGCTAGAAAGCTGATAACATAATTAACCGAGGAGAGAAATTCCAAACAGAAAAAAAGGGATCGGATACTGTCTTGGCATATTAAAGGCAAAATGCATATCAGAACTCAAAACACAATCGCATCCATACAGTGAAAAAACGATGGAGAAAATATTCCATAGAAAATTCATAGTTGCGTTTATCTTTTAAAATTTTTCCCCTTTGGAGAAGGGAGTGGTATTTACTTTTCGCATATTGCTGACTTCCAGAAGTGTTCTTGTTAGCAGCAGGTCCAATTCGCATTGGCCTGGATGAACAGAGGACCCCATTCATCTCAGTCATAGCACGTATTTGTTCATTATCGTCTCCAAACTTAACAAACCCATAACCTTTAGTGCGTCCGGTGAGCCTGTCAATCACAACTTTGGCACCCTTAACAGAGGTGTATCGCGCCCTAAATGTCTCTTGTAGAACATAATCAGTAACATCACCAGCCAAGTCCCCTACGAAAATTGTGTAATCAGGAGAGTCATCTTGCCGCTTCTCCCCTGCTGATGCCCAGTTCAATCTAAAATTTTGTGCCCCATTGGGCATCGGGGTTCCGTTATATGTTTGCAGTACTCTTTCTGCCGCTGGTCGTGTCAAGAACTCAATAAAGCCGTAACCCTCAGACTGACCGGTTTGCTTGTTCCGAATGACTTTCACCGAGGAAACCTGGATATATAAACATCTTTAATCCCAACAGAACAAAATATATTGCATCACATGTTTGCTATAAACATCGATAAAGATTCAATTAATAATCATACAACTCCAACATCTTCCGCATAAGATATATATACATGATCGCAATTGCCGTCGCATTCTTTAACGTACCTCGCCTGTATGAGCAAAACAATTATAAAGATAGTTCTCGTCCATCCAGTACTGCAAGTCTCCGATCCAGAGCGTACGGACCTCATCCGCGTTGGCTGGCTGAGGCGGTTGACCCTGGGGCGAACCCACCTGGGGCTGCTGAGGCCACATCTGAGGCACGGGCTGGGCTTGGGGCGGCTGCGGCGGCATCATCATGTAAGGGGGTTGCTGTTGCTGGTACTGAGGGGCTTGGTGGGGCATATTGTGAGGGGCAACACCAGGTGCAGGCAGCATCGTACCGAACAAGGGATAGAACAACTGCTAATTGCAGAGAGAAGAAGAGAGTTTGGGAGTCTCGTCTAAGGAAAGAGAAACCCTAACCCTAGAAGTCGAAATTGAGCGAGAGGGAGAGAACATAAAAGGAGGGGATCGGAAGGATTAGATTAGATTTTATTTATCGTTTAAAAGGAAAAGATAAAAATAAAATAAAATTTTGAGATACGTTATCTGAAAGCTTTGAGGCCCTGGTTTTTAGAATATGGGCCCCATGTCCGTCTTCCAACACTTTCAACGTCGGATTGTGGCTAGCCAATCAAGTTGCGAGCTCATGGAAGTTCGATGTTACCGACCTCACGGGAACATTTGGATTTTTCTATATTCAATTTTTCTCTCTTTTTTTTTTTCTTTTTTCCATAAACTGACCTATTCCAACGTTGTCCCAAAAATGTCCGTGATAATTCTTAAATGTACTGATGTAACTTAGGAGTCATCATTGGTTTTGAAAAAATAATCGAAATGATCCATTGATTTTTTATATTTTCATATGAACTGCGTTCTATTTTAATTTGATTGATCCACTAAATTTGTGTAATCCAAAAATAAGATCTAAACCTTATTTATATAAATAGTTATTCGATAGTATTTAAATGTATATATATAAGTAATAAGTAATAATAATTTGTATGTGTCAATCTGAGTCTAGCGAATTGGTTAAGATATAAAGTAATATTACTAGAGTTAGAAATTTGAATCACCTGCTTATCAACAATAAACTCAAAAATATTAATTTGTACATAATAATTAGCTATTTAAATGTCAAAACGAGTATTACTCGGCACTAATTGTTATATATTTAAAATCAAAAAGGTTGTGAGTTCGATCTATCATCCCATAATCTTTTCTTTAACCTGTGAAGATAAATGTTGCCAACTCTCTCGAATACGACATGATTTGTTGAGTTGAAGAATTTAGTCTCAAATTTCCGGATTTTTCTATTTCAAAAAAAGTATTTAAATTTATTTTTAGAAGTTGAAGAAACTCTCCAAAAGTTGTTTTTAGTCCATAAGTGAAATTTTAAAAAACATCTGATTCTTTTTTGTTTGAGTGTTTAATTTCTACCATTGAAAATTTCGGAGTTTCTCATAAATAAAATATTTAAGGGTTTAATTTTTTCTTGTGAAAGTTTAGAGATCTAATTTCTTCCTTCGGTGGTTTTTGCAATTCACCCTATTTAATACTATTTGTGTTTATCAAAACTTTTTTGTTTGAGTGTTTAATTTCTACCATTGAAAATTTCGGAGTTACAATTTTCTCATAAATAAAATATTTAAGGGTTTAATTTTTTCTTGTGAAAGTTTAGAGATCTAATTTCTTCGTTCGGTGGTTTTTGCAATTCGCCCTATTTAATACTATTTGTGTTTATCAAAACAAAATCAAATATATAACTAAGACATTGATATTTATTTAACTCGAGAAAATCAAAACAATAAATTTTCTTTTTGTTTTCTGGGTTCAACATAAATGAAATAAATTTTAAAAATAAAAAATAAAAATTCAAAGGGCATAATAAATTGCTGATATGGAGATATAAATATTTGTTGATCTCGAACTAGAAATTAACCAATTCAACAGACTACATACATTCAATTACCATACCAAATACTAAACATGGGAAAAGATTGAAGGTCGGAGTTCAGTGAGCAATCTTCATTAACTATTGTGAAAGAAGTTCAAATGAGAATCAAAATGACGATAAACTCCTATAACATTACTAAAAAAAGTGTAAATAAAACACTTCCATACGAGAATCAGTCAATTTTGCTAAAGCCATTATGATGATCAGTAGTAGCATCACGACTTCGCAGAGCTTTTAGCAACAATTTACGAAAATTACAATCAGAAAACTGACTCGCTTCCAGAATAGATAAGATCCTATGATAGAATAAATAACACAACACGCAAAAAACAGAAAAAAAAAAAACCTAACACCAAATACAACACGAATGTTATCATGTCAACAGAGTTGCATAGAATATTGTTCACAATATAGATAAGAGATTAACATCTCCAAAATCTTGTACCAATGACACAAGTAGATCGGGGTCTCGGTCGAGGCAGTGCACCGCACATGAGAAATAAAACTTGTCATCTACATATATCCTCCTTGTTGCTGTGATGGCTGCTGTGGTGCTGGTTGCTGATAGTTTCCATATCCACCATAGCCACTGTAGAACATGTTAGGGTCTTGGGCAGCTGGAGCGTAGCTATAATTTTCATATCCTTGTCCATACCCATAGTATCCTCCTCCTGCTGCTGATGCTGCTGCTGCTCCTCCTCCATTCCACTGGTTAGGATCAGCCTGAGGCTTTAAATTCACAACAGAGGATTATTACGATGCATCAATTACGTTCTAGAAACTAAAGCTTCATTTAATAACCATTTAGTTTTGAAAATTAAGCTTATAAAATAAAACACTACTTTCACCTATAAATTTTTTCTCCTTGTTATCTATTTTATAAAATAAATTCAAACTCTAAACTAAAATTTGAGAAGTAAAAAAAATAGTTTATAATAGAAAAATTGACTAAGAATTCTTTAAGAAAGAGGATAACCCATAGTAAAGAGACGGAACAAATGAGGGGATAACATACAGTTAAAAGAGGGAACCATCACAATTATTAGAAATAGAAAACTAAAAATGAATTCAAACGGAGCATAAGTGAAATACAATACTACTACCTGCTTATTAGAAGGACTACGGCCCCATGAAAGTCTAATATTTTGCCCACCAATTTGGGTTCCATTCAACATCCGTAAGGCTTCCTCGGCACAGCTTCTAAAATAGTATTAAAAAAACAATTCATGAGCAAACACCAAGTGTTGGGGAAGGAGGGGGGAGGGGGGGCATAAAAGCTTTTGTATATTCCAACCTGTCTGAAAATTGAACAAAGCCACATCGCTTGCCAGCAGGTATCTTCACGTGCACAAGCTCACCATACTGACTGAATACTTGTCTCAAGTGCTCATCCGTGACATTAGAATCCAAATTTCCCACAAATATCTGCAATAAGACCAAAAAACTCAAAAACATGTCCATAAGATTATATTGCTATTGAAAATTACTGAAGTACCCACAGTTGTATTATTTGGATCGTTCTCATTCTGAGTGCCTTGAGGAGGATTCTGGTATGAAGCTGCATGTGCAAATATTAAACTAAAATGACATCTTCTAATCAGCATGAACTAAAAAAATCCAGAACCGTGACATTTTTGGAAAAAAAGATACTGTTTGGGAAGACAATTGAACTTAATGGTGTCACAACATTGCTGTGGTGAATAATATTAATAAACAAATCAAACAAACGAAAATACATGCAGAGCAGCAAATCAACAATTGCCAAAATAAGTTCAAATGACTAACACAAGCATGCTTGATTCCTCATTGATGGAAATATGAACCCAAATTGATTCTCCATATGTGTGAGAATAAGGCTTTAAAAATGTATAATCACATGAAAGCATGATGAACGTGGATAAATTATTAGATAAACTGGAGATTTTGTTCAACCACCAACATCATAATCACAAAATAACATGAACAATGACCAATTTTGTGTAGATTATAAGTTTATAGCTTCAATGTTAAATATGATAAAATTGTGGGATTCATTCAGGTGGTCTCTTAGTAGAAAGATCACCAAAAGCAACTATCAACAGGAAATTCAAAATGCAGAAATGATTTTAAACTGCATAATCACATGAAGCACCCAAGCGTCATAAATGAAAAACATGGAAAATTTGTTACTTTTTCCATGGTATTTAAGAACTTAAATGTCCGTATGAAGGTCTTGCCAACAAACCATAACAAGTCCACTAGGAATATGATCTAGATCGAGAAATAGCGTAAAACATGACAATAGTCATCAGAAAGGGTGGCTACGGGACATTATTATAACCAGTCTACAGACCCTGTTTAGTAGTCAATATGCCAATTAAAAAAAAAACCTTAAGAATTTTGTTAACATTCTTTGCACTCTAGCAAAAAGTGTTGAAAATGGAGCAGTATTGAGGGCGGGAATGAACCAACAAAAAGGAAGCAAGAGTTGAGGAACGGTCTCTAGACCATCTTGGTAAAGGTCATCCTAGGAAAAAACCTAAGGAAACAGACAAAAATACACCTGCAGAAGAATTAACATTTGTTCATATATAAGCTGTCTGTAAATAAAATTAATAATTTAATATTTATTCAAGTGCAGACTCTAGGAGAGGTGTTTGTCCAACTCTATATATATATCAGAGAGTCGGAGCTTTGCTCTCCTATATTATATATATTATGCAAAAGCACTTTGTTTATTCCAAAAGTTGAGCCAAATGCATGCTTGTTGGACAAACATTTTATTGAGTTCATGCCAAAAATACTTTTCTGTATGTCTTTTAACCAGAAGGTTGGCTGAAAAATAAACCTATTACTGCCTACTAATATTTGTTCAATGTTTGGTTAAAGGGACTTCTGCTTCACCCTCTAAGCACTATTGTCTTGGAGGAAAATAGTACTCACTGCTCAGTTCTAGAGTGACGTACTCACAAAATGTCATCAAGTTACAAGGAAAACTAATTAGCTTCTACTTCTAGATTTTGGACTTCTCCAAACAACACATAAACAATCAGGCCTCTAGACTTCATAAAAATTGCATGCACTTAGTTTTCAGCGAAGGCAAATGACTTTCAACAAAGCAACGAAAGGAGATTAAGAGTCAAAAGAAAAGATAATGTGAACCACTGAGCCAAAAGTTATAAAAGGTTAAAAAGAGTTGAAGATCCAAATTCCAAACAGATCATCAACCAGAACAATAGCTTCTATTGGCATGGAAACAATAACTTGATCTACAATCACAGAAGTAAACCACCGAACCCTAGGTAGAAAGCCAGGAAGTGAGTACCAAAAGGGTATAAATTAAAAGCTGAGGACCAGCATAAACTAGTCATAACAGAAATCTGGCATATAGACGGACCAAAAAGGAAAGCTCAGATTCAAACTAGCCTATTTATTCAGCTACTTGAATATTAATAATTGCTGTCACTCTAAAGAACCAAAGTGGACTGAGCTTCAAAAAGTAATAAACGGTACCAGACGTTTCAAAACATTTGGGTAAGACCCGAAATGGAAGAAAATCAGTGAAGAAACTAATGCTCCATAGCTTCTAAAAAAGCTAATATAAAGACGTAGCATAAAAAGATGCCACAAAAGTAAAGGGTAAGACATTGGCGGGAAAAAAACTGACCTAAGTGGAACAACGCACTAAAGGGTAAGCATGTCAGCTGAAATCTGTTGCAGACCCCTAGCTGACAGAGCCTTTTGACATCCTGCTTAGAGAAAACGGGAGTTTTATAAGTTTATCAAGTTTTTTTATAGCAGTTAAAATGACCGTTCTTCAAAAATGGAAGTACACGAAGGAAAAGTAATGAAAGGCCGCTATTCTTCCAAGGTGTAACTAGGGAAAATAAGACCAAATGTTTAGCACACAGCAACGCCGAATTAAACTGAAAGGAAAAAAACAGCAGGAAAAGGGAAAAGGTCGGATTCTGATGAGGCACAATCAGAAGAAACGCATGTCAGCAAAACAAGAGACAAATTGGAATTCAAACAAATTATAATAGTAAATTGAGGAGGAAAACAGCAGCAAGAAAATCAGTTTTCTTTTGGTTTGGGTAGGAGGATTTACTTTTGGGATACTGCTGACCACCACCAGAAGTGTTCTTGTTAGCAGCAGGTCCAATACGCATAGGCCTTGACGAACAGAGAACTCCGTTCATCTCAGTCATTGCACGACTTTGTTCAGTCTCATCTCCGAACTTCACAAAACCATAACCTTTAGTACGTCCAGTGAGCCTATCAATCACAACTTTGGCACCTTTAACCGAGGTGTAACGCGCCCTAAATGTCTCTTGGAGCACATAATCCGTAACATCACCAGCTAAGTCCCCTACGAAAATTGTGTAATCAGGAGTGTCATCTTGCCGCTTCTCCCCTGCTGATGCCCAGTTCAGTCTAAAATTTTGTGCCCCATTTGGCATCGGTGTACCGTTGTATGTCTGGAGCACCCTTTCTGCAGCCGGACGTGTTAAGAACTCAATAAAGCCGTAGCCCTCGGACTGAGCGGTTTGCTTGTTCCGAATGACTTTTACCGATGAAACCTGCCACATAAAAATCGTTAATTCCATAAAAAATAGATCCTAACCACTTACTTCAATTCACAGTTGTCAACATACATGCGAACGCACACAACCATTGAAAACCCGACTAATGATAACAGACTCCGGACAACAATCGAATAAAACCCATTGAAAAGGACCAAATCTCAACCAAGTTCGAGTGATCTCGCGTACCTCGCCAGTATGAGCAAAACAGTTGTAAAGATAATTCTCGTCCATCCAATATTGGAGGTCTCCAATCCATAGCGTACGGACCTCGTCCCCGCTGGCCGGTTGAGTCGGTTGGACCTGCGGTGAAGCCGCCGGGAGCTGCTGAGGCCACATCTGAGGCCCAGGCTGAACTTGAGGCTGCTGAGGAGGCATCATCATGTACGGCGGCTGCCCCTGCGGCTGCTGGTACTGCGGGGCTTGGTGGGGCACGCTGTGCGGGGCAACACCAGGTGCAGGCTGCATCGTATCAAAGATGGCGGAAAAATGAATTTGTAAATGTAACGAAGGAGAGAGAGTTTGGGGATCTCGTTCAACCCGGAGAAACCCTAACCCTAGAGGTCGGAAGCAGGCAAGCCGCGAGCGAGAGGGAAACAAAAAGGTTGGGATTGCTGAGATTATATGATACGCTGTACAAGGCCGGGATTTTTAGAATTTGGGGCCCACATATCTGTCCATCAACTGGCCAGCATTCTATCTGGCCAATCAACGACCGAGATCACTCACGTCTAAATGGTATCGACCGCACAGGAACCTCTCGCTTTTTCCCCCTCATTATCTAACCTAATTGTTCATATCACGACAAAATATTTGTAAAACTTTCTCAAAAAAGATGGATTTTTCTTGGATTTAAATCTTCATCCAATTTATAGACATTGTGGATGAATTCAGTTAGTTGTAGTTTGGTATTACTAGTCAGTGGCCTAACTAGGGTTTATTTCATCAAAATCATAGCTTACGCTTACCCTTTATTTTGAATAAATCTCATTTGAAAAATGATAAAGGGCCAAATTACTTCGAAGTTTTGAAATGATGTGTTAAATCGATTTTTAAATTTAAAAAGTGTCTAATAAAGTTTAAACTTTCAATTTGATGTATAATAGTTACTAACAATCTAATAAATCTTTGAACTATCAATTTATTTTGTCTAGTAATCCTCTAATATTTTCGACATTTTTTTAATTCATATCAAACATAAAATTGAATTTTATTTATATTATAGTAATGTACTTTCAGTTTTATATTTAATAAGTCTCTAACATTTTTTTTGACATGGTTAAAAATTCATGAATTTATCAAACACATAATTGAATTTTGTTTTATTATAACTTTGAAGTTTCAATTTTATGTAATTGGTCTGTAAATTTTTAAATTTTCTTAATATTTTAATGATTTATTGACAAAATTGAAAGTTCATATTAAATAAATACTTTTAAATTTAAGCCCAACTTATTGGATCAAATCATCACACTGTACTAAAAAAAAAACACACACAATTAGAAATTTATGAATCTATGTTGATTTACCTCGAAATTATATAAAATCTAGTTTTTGTACGACATGATGCAGGACCACGTTTTCATTGAGATATATATCTTAAAAAGTTTTTTTTAGTACATATATCTTAACTCATTAGTTACACTGAAATTGGCTAAAATTAAAGTATAAGTTTGGAGTAGGAATAGTCACAATTATATTTGAAATGCAATATTAAAATAAATTAATGCTGGTTTTGATTGTAAGTTCTTTTCTACTGTACACTGCACGTAATTTAATTAATTTTAATCCATTTGATGAAAATGTTTAATAGATTTTTTTAGATTCAAACAAAGAGTAAATGAGAATTTCAAGTTCTAAGTTTTAACCCAACTTATTAATGTGTTGATTGGTTGAATTGTGCTCAATTGGATAAATTTTAATTGATTTTATCTAGTGTGATGAATTTTACTTTTTATCGTCAGTATTGTTTTGATATAACGACCATGAGGTTAATGCCGCCGTGGTAGAAGAATGGATATCTTGACTGGAGACCTTGTTAGTAGAGAGTGTTTTTGTCAATATATGATCGTTACGAATGAAGAGTCATCATTTCGGCATTCAAGTTAGTAGAGGTCCAATTTATTTTATGTAGAATTTGCAATTAGATTCTAGCATTCCTAAAGGTAGAATTACCTTTGGTACTTATAGGTGTCAAGCAATTGAGATAGTTAATTTGCCCAAACACACATTTGTAATGTGCGGCACAAAATCGAGTGTAGTGGTGAGTAAGCAGTTTGAAGGACGATTTTTCTCAGTTTGACTACTCTCAATGTTTGGTTGGCGGGCTCAAGATCAAACCATGAATCAACATATGTATTCCAAGATCTTTGAATTTAGTAAAGATAGAGAATCACCAGGCACGTCTCCCATCTAAAATCTAAAAAATGTGAAGTTACTTAAGTTTATTAATGAGATACTTTAAAGGGAGGTAAGTAATTCAAATAAACAACTTAGACATCATAATCTTATTGGTTAAAGAATGTATATATTTAGAGATATTCCTCGCTATTACAAAATATCTTAAAAAAAATTTTTGTCAATTATCCTAGATCTCGTAAAGATGTAGGGTAGACCTTCCCTATTTCTTTTTAGTACATCATATGAAGTGAGAATTCAAATGTTCAAATTGATGGCCGGATACATGTATCTACCCTCCCGTTTCCTCCATTTATAAACATTTTAGTCCATTATAATAAAAAAGTAGATCAAAATTTAGTGAATAAACCCAATTGTGCTAGTTGTTGCATTTGTATTTAATACTACAAAAATCACATACACACAACTTGTTCCCACTTTACCGAAAATGCCCTCACAAGCCCAGTTGCTCTGCAACTTTGCCAACATATCCAATCCAATCCAATTTCTATTTAAATTCGGAAATTGGATGAGCATGCGACAACCTAATCCTCTCCCACCAAATACCGCGAAACAAAAATCTTCCATCCGAAAACTTTCAACAATGGAGATTTCAAATCGTCCTTCTTTACGTAATCCATTTCCTCCTCATCTCCTCTATCCCTACTACCATTACGCCATTCCTCAGAACTACGTGCACTGGGTACAAACCCCTGACTCTCATATTTTCTCGGCCGATCTCCCAGGTATTTTCAAATTCCAATCCGTTTCTAGTTCTAGATTGTTCGTGTTCATTTATTTTCTAAATTTCTGAGCCTCTTCTGGTTCGATTTGATGCGCAGGTGTTCGGAAAGAGGAGATAAAAGTGGAGGTTGAGGATTCGCGGTACCTGATTATTCGAACAGAGGCCGTCGATGGAGTCGAGGAGCTTGCGAAGAGCTTCTCGAGGAAGTTTCGGCTTCCGGTTCTGGTCGATGTAGATGCGATTTCGGCCGGGTTCGAGAATGGAGTTCTGGAGATTACGGTGCCTAGATCTTTCAGGAGAGCCTCTGTCATCCTGCCGACTGATTCACCCGATCAACTTCAACTCCTCGCTAGGGCTGCTTGAGTTAGATTCCAACTCAAATTTGCTTGTTCTTCCTTCTCTTTCCTTGTAGTTTCCGGGATTGGGAAGTTGGAAATTTGAAATTTGCTGTTGCGTATGGCAAATTTGCAACACTTTTTTTTTTTTTTTTATCAATATCAACATATTGTTGGATTTAGAAGTGTATTCTTCTCGTTCCAAAAAGGCTGCCTGACCAAATCGATAACGTCTCATCCATTCCATGGCAGTTAATAAATTATAGAATCATCTATTGGACACAGAACCATAGAAGTGTCTGAATAATAGCAAGCAGTTCATAATTGACTTCGGACAAATTCGATTCATAGAAATCAATCCCTACATCATTGTTGAACTTAAAAGAGAAAATAAATATATATGCCTATGCATGTATATATATGTATATATTTGTGTGACAATCAATCCGTTTCCCGAACCCTCTTTTAATATAATATCCTCTTTTAATATAATATGTGAAAGTGGAGATTTGAACTTACAACATTTATTTGATAAGTCAAAATAAACATGGTTTAACGATAATTGAGATATATCTCAAACCAAGATGTCGTGGGTTCATTTTTCATCCCACATGTCATATTCAAAGAAAATTTTATTTAATATAATGTTTTTCTAGCTAAAATGTGGCAATTCCTGAATTAAATTTATAAAATATAAGAGAAATAAAAATTATTTGAAAAAATATAATAATTTTAATCCATATCTAAATGTTCTTTAATGATGAAATTGATGGTTTCATCTGCCACTGTCGTTGTTTTGCATGAGTTTCTTCTTATTTCGACAAACTACCGTATTCTATTCTAAAGTATATTTAAATACATTTTTATATTAATTTTTTTTAACAATATTTGAAAAAAAACGCATAAATCCACAACTTGCCATCTTTTTTACTAAAAGTAACAGGTAACAGCAAGCCTCTATATTAATCAAAACTGATTACTTTTACAAGAATGGATGCCCTTTTGGAATTCACAAGGCACCAATGGCTGCGGCACCAAAATCGAAGTCTGATATTTTGAAGTCCCAAAGGCCAATCCACCATTCCAATCAAAATCTGCGGTTGGAATTTCCCAAACAAAAAGCAAGAGCATGTGCATGTGCATGTGGGTTCTCATAATTGTGGCCGAACATGCAACCAATCATTAGCACCAAGAATTCGACACCAAATCCCAACGCTAAATATCTGCAAATCAAACAAATCAGTAACAGGGTTCAACAAAAACTGCTGTCTACGCTATGTATGTGCATAAATCATGCACATCAAATACAAATTTCACACCACAGGCCTTCAGATTTCGCAAGACAAATGTCAAAAGCCTAATCTCAGTGGCAATTGTACTCTATGCACTACGCCCTACGGTTTAAAATTTTAATATAGACCTCCTCGCTTAGCCAAGAAATTTAATGCCTGCCTTGCTGGGCGTTACCATTTGTTATCAACTTTCGTAGTTCAACAGCTTCTTTCAATCGTCTCTCTGTGTTCTCTCTCCCATCAAAACCCCGACCAATCCTACATTAAAACAGGGGATTGATATTTTCAGTGAAGGATAAAAAGAAAACAGGAAGAATGATAGCTTAAGCCGATATATGGCTGCAAGTTCCTGAAAGGATTAACAATGAGTATGCGTCTAAGTCAAATTCCATGAGTCGGAATCTTACCTCTTCTCATTGCGTGCCTTTCTCGTAAGTTCCTCCACAAGATTGTTCAGCCTCTTTAAATGACCAGTTAACCTGCGTACTGCTTCAATGCCTTTTTGATTTCTGCAGATCTTCTTCAGAACTTCCGAGGCCACAAAGAAGCCGGCTTCCTTATTCCTGAAAACAAGTTATTGATAGATGGCACTTAGTCATATTGAAAAGAAAGACAGTAGTCTTCATCACGATATAATGTTCATGAATTATGTTGATGAAACCTTAGAAGCTCCCAGAGAAGTATTTCCACAGATTCATGTGTGTCAATTAGCACTTCTGTTAGATGGGGATAGCGTGATAAATTTCTTAAAGTAGAGAGCGCATGCTTCAAAACTTCCTGATGCGGTATGCTTCGGCTGACCGACCGAATGAGCTTCAGTAGAGTGCTAATAGCTCCCGCACCAACAAGGGTTTCGCAGCATTTTTGAGAATGTCCTGTCGCCATATCTACAAAGGGGGGATTTGGATATCAAATATTCAGTCAATTGATTCGCGTCCATACCCACCCAAGCAAGCGTGATACTTGAAAATGGTGATGCATATTCAGGAAAAAGAATGAATGAACGCAAATTACTAGAATGGTATCTCAATTTGGTGCAGTTGTTTTAATTATATAACTCATTGAACATAAATTTGGTAGGCTAAAGCTTATAGCAGAAATAAAACTATATCAAGCACGTGCAATATAAGTAAGAACAATGGCAATATGCATAATGCACATGGGATACAAATTATCATCAACATACCCAAAGTTGCACTGGTCTGAAGAATGCCTCTAACACTTGTCATGCTTAATAAATCGGAAAGTGCTACAACCAATCTGTTTATAATACGCTGGCCATCATCCACATTTGCAGCAGAGTATTGTACCCTTAAGCGCAGGTCTCGTAGCTGCCCTATTGAACTTTTCCTTGCTAGGTAACCTTTCCAACGTGACTATCAAATTCCAGAAACATAGAAAAAAAAAATTATACTTAGTTTCTAAATGTTGATTTGAAGCTCGTGGCATATGGTACTTTGAAAAGCTTAGAATGTGAATATCTGCTCCGATAAGATTGGACAAGCAAGGCGTCAATGCTCTCCTCCACTTTCCTATTATCACGTGTGAATTATTTTGATTGCATGTAAATGGTCGAACGTTAAACAATGAGTTAAACACTTACTTGGATCAAAACAATATGATGTCTCTGTGTAGCAGCCCTCCGTCTTGATATCCACCCTCGAATATGAGACTGAATGACGATAGCGGAACTTGATCTTAATCTAAGCAATAATATTCCCTTCCACCAACTTTGCAGTTTAAGAATTGAACTTAAAACTTGTTTCAGCTCAAACATCTTGCAGCTAGCTCCAGAGAAATCGCCACCATAATAAGCTGTACGATGTTTAGACGCCGCACCTAAACAATAAAGTGGTGTGAGAAATGGAACTAAAACAACATTAGAGCTATCCTCGAACATGTAGACACAATACCTAAGAGCTTCATTCGAGTCATTTGTCCCCTCAAAAGTCGTTGAATTTCTATAGCTGCACGTCTCTGCCTGTGAAATGATATACTAGTAATCATGCACCGCGTAGCAGTCTGGATCTTTATAACAGCCTCTTTTTGCAGCAAAAATTCTTTTCGTGCTAACCAACGACGCCAAAAACTCTATATTTATCGAACGATGCACACAATTTAATAATGTTAAAGAATTGGATTAGGAAAAGAGAACAGCCTCAATTTAAAGATAAATAGAACTTTCAAGAAATAATTTAAATGGATCAATTATACTAAACCAAGAAATTCAATCAGAATGAATAAGTTGGAATATCAAATCCATTAGAAGTCCAAAAAATTCTTACTTGGACTATAATAACGAGACGCCTATGTCTATGACATTCTCTCCTGGCAATCCATCCACGAACTAGAGATTGAATTACGATGGCAGATGTCACTACATTCTTGTAGTGTTCATATTCTCTCCGACATCTTAACATACGAATATTTCTTTGAATTATTATTGTGGCCATCCTTAGACTCAGAAACTGCCTTCTCAACAACCCCCCGCGAACATAACTTTGAATTTTAGTGGCAGCAAGGTGCTTATTGCAGAAAGCTTTGTTTACCACTACATCCTCGTTCAGTATAGGACACTCCTCGGCAACTATTTGAACGTCAGATTCTTCCTTTATTTTATCAATAATGTCCATCTCTCCATCTGTGATTGAAGCTCTTATTAACTCAGCTATTCCCCAGTCATGTCTTTCTAAAGATGATTCTTCCGTGCTAATCTGATTTTTCCTATTCCTCCAATTCCTAATTGCTTGCTGAATACGTATTGCTGACCTTTGTAAATTCAAGGGGCCATGTCTGTCCACTGTGGATGTGCCATATCTTCCAACAATTTCGTGCTGTTTTGAACTTTCTGTATCATCAATGTAACAGCTTTTGTCATGGTGAGTGTTATTATTTAACCATATTAACTACATATTTAAGAACAAACTAACTAAATACAAAATACCATACCACATGAAAATAGAGCAGCATGTTCTAAAAAAGCCAATTTCCGCCTCCTAATTAACCATGCTTTGATGAATGTTTGTAAGAAGGAAATTTCACCCATCAACTTGATAAATTTCCGACGCTCAACCAACATTCTGTAATAAGATTGAATGATTCTAGCGGCATCTTCTGCAAAATATCACAAGATAATCCAAACTCTTTAATAATAATGACAACAACAATGAAAACTTCAAATTTTATTTTAGTCCCCACTTTCATACTCACCTCATTTTTAGTTCTCAAACGCACTCTTTTGATTTTAGAATTAGCACAAAAATCCATCTCTCTCTTTATCGTTTAATTTTCCAATAAAAGCATAAACATTTCGTTGTTCATTGAAATGAAAGAGATGAAGAAAAGAAAGTATAAACATTTGAAGATTGAGAATTGATCAGTCAACAAAGAAGACAATGGACCAACCAACAATAGATATGCGCCAACCCAATTGCAATCGGGTAAACAAAAATAACAGTAGGTGACATCCCAATTACCTCTTTGCTCTTTGTTTCTATCTTTTTCTGATGGGAAGAATAATGAAGAAGCGTCTGCCTTTGAAAAGGATCTCTTGTTCTGTTCAACCATATCCTGCCACCATGCCCGAATAGTCTTGAACTTTTTGGCAGCATCTGTTTCTGAACGGAACGCCAGAATTTTACACAAAAGAAGACTGTTTAAAAGCACTGATCTAACGCCAAGAAAATGCTTACTTAAAAGAAAGAATGGATAAAATCGAAAAACTTGCATATGTATTATGTACCAAATACCAAGGCCACGCATGTCTATGTCCTTATGAAGAGTGCCATACAAAAAGAAGCAAAATGTTTACTTAAGGCACTCCCTTCACAAGCATGGAATCAAGGAATTAAAAAACCCACCTCCAGTGCTCTGCACATCAAGTTCTTCATTATTTGGCGCAGCCACTGAATTCAAAATATACTGCCTGGAACAGAAATGTATTTTATTTGGGCTTTGACAATCGCAGTCCAATAGTTTATGGAAATTCAACTGATCCTAGAAAAAAGAATTCATATGTTTCACGATATAGAACATGGTATGAACAAGAATGGACATCATCCAAACACAGCGTGTGAAACATTACCACACTTTTCTTCACAATCAGCTCTGATGCGAGGAAAGTTAACAAAATTATAACACTGCGGTCACTACATGCACCACCATACTCAAGTATATCACTGATTTGCAGAATCTGTCAAAAGAAATGATATAATAAAATAATTATGATAACTAATTAGAAAAAACAAGTGCTTGTGTAATAACTAATAAGTAATAACTAAAGATTTGATTCCTGGCTTGGTCATGAAAATCCTTCGGCTAATTTTTGTTTAAATCCCTAACGGCTATATTATTTTAACTTCGATCACAACACAACAACAAGAAGCATCCCTGAAAATTTCTCCAATTTTCAGATATCTCTTAATATTTAACCAAAAAAAGACATAATTGATCAACTAAAGAAGCGAGAGGAATCAACAAATTATCATTATATGGTAAGGTAAAAAACATAGTACATAAACTATTAATGCTTCAATCATAAAAAGACACTTTTTCCGCCCTGTGCTTAACTAGAAGCCTACTTAGTGCGCTTCACAAAAATAATATTGAATATTTTTGTCAAACAGTAACCTCAGGAAAATCTCCCAATAAGGACGTCAATTTTTGCAATAGAATGAAATTGTACGCTGAGTCTGAACAATGAGTGATAGACATGATTGATTCTTCATCATTCGTTTTCGTAGGATCCTGTAACCAGATAGATACATCAAAGTTAAGGCGCAAACAAGGCATGCATAAAACAGAGAGTGAGTTCAACATATATCAAGTAGGTTCCTGTAATTAGATGGATATATCAACCTTTAGAGAGCTAGAACACTGAAGATCTTTTCGGAAGTAGTAATCTAGTAGGCACCATACTGCTTTTCCATCAACCAATGAAGAAAAACTGCTAATCTTTATATCATAGTACTCGCAAACTACCTGAAATAATTAAGAGGACTTTTCAATGAGCAATGGATAAAAAAACCCTTGAAGAATTCGAACCCTTAAAGTTTGGACCGATAAGCAATGAATAAAAAAACAGAATGCAAGAAACTAGTAAACAGCTTTCCAACTTTAACAAAGAAAGAAGATTAGTGACTTTGACCCGCTCAATCCCAGATTTGAAATTATTTATAGCAATGAAAGTAGTCCCAGATTTGTAAAATATGTGTAGTATATGTATGCTTCCACAACTGTGCTAGTAGCCAAATACCTTATACAACACATATACATAAAAATTCTCTTGAAAATTGGAATGGGTAACAACATGACAAAATTCCATGTAAGCAATGGTAGGAAAAATGCTTATACATTGCTATCGCGGATCTCGGTAAATGGACGAGGAATCCTGAAAAACGGTAGAATATGGCTTGCATTTGCATTAAGATACACGCACCACGATGGTCCTTGTTGATGTAGTTATAATTTAATGGAAGGCGAAAGAGTAGTTCTCAGTATGGGACTGAAAGCAGTACCTGGATCCAATTCAAAATAACTTCCAAATGTGTGGAATTGACAATTTCAGATGTTTCCTGTTGAATGGAAAAGAATGAGTAGATATGAACGAAATTCAAATATAATAATAAATAAATAAAAATAATAAAAGAATATAATAAAGAAAAGAAAATAGAATTGGACATCAAATGCTAACAAAATAATGAACCAATGATTGTATTTGAGACTGAACACGCCTTCAAAAGTCTAACAAAGAGGAGTAATACTGACCACCCCACGAATCTTGCAGACTTCTTCAACGAGAAGGTTTTTGTTGACTATAAGAGGTAACTGCATGTTTTATGCAGAAAAATGTAAGTCATATGACTTCTGGACTTGAGAGTTAAAAGAACAATCAACTCCTTGAAAAATGAAAATCCATAAGACATCACGTAGACAAATTGAGTAATTATCATGAAAAATAAAGAAAGAGAAAAAAAAGAACTTTAGAATACCTGAAGATGAACAAACATGTTGGAGAGCAAGGAGAGGATGATTTCCTTATCTCCGTTTGCAATATCATCTCCCACAGTTATCATTCCATCCTCATCGCATAATGCCACACCGGCCTGCTTAAGATACTGCACAGCCTTGCCACAGTTTGCCAAGTTCTTCTTTTGAGTATCTGATGGAACAATAATTTTCTGACAGCAAAATTATAACAAAATTAAGAAATGAAAAAAAAAAAAAAAAGAAGCTATTAAGACATATCTTTTCCTGAATGAAGAATGACACTACCGTCAGAATGGAATAGTCATTAAGCAAAAGTTGAATGGCTCTGCAAAGCCGAACCCCATCTTGGATGTCTACAAATAAATTGGTAATTTTGAAGTCGTATTCAGAGAGGGGACACTGCACGATCATAACAAATTAACACCAAGTCAGCCAATAAGGGTAAAAATTATTATTTTAGTTCATTTAAATTTCCTACACAAGTATTCATGCGCGTGGTCACAGACAAAGATTCAGGTTAACATGGTCATCAGGTCGTGTCAATAGAGCTACTACCTGAATGTAAGATACTTTGTACCCCATAATCACCAAATGTGCTACCAGATTACCTTCTCCATGCATCACATCTGATGATAGGAAATCTAATTCCACCAAGAGAAAAAATAAATTATAATGTACTTTCAAACTTATAAAATTATCAGCAAAAAAGGGTGGAAAAATTGTTAGTTACCATTAATCATTTGACGACTTGATTTGATGACAGATTGCACAATGAACAGCAAAGGAGAACCCCCATCCACGCCATCGATACCATACTCAAGAGGAAGACTGCTCTGTGACTTAGCTTTATCAAGGATAAGAACTAGCAATAAAAATCTTTTTAGAATGATATTTCCCAAGGCTTCATAATAGCCTGGTCTATATAAACCCTCAACCATCCGGTTATAGGAATATCCCTTCGCCAGACCAGAATGAGAAAAAAACTGCTTCTCCAGGATCATTTTCAGAAACGCGTTGTCTAGTTCAGAGTTCACTTCTTCAGTGGACAACAAAGAATCACCACCAAATATGATGTGTAATCCAATGTGAAGCCAAATTGGGTTGTAAGACATAAGGATCCTTGTGGCCTTCTCCTTCAGTCCAACGTCAGTTACAATGGGGCAATGCGCCTTCATTTTTAACCTTCCATCATCAATATTCTGAGAAACAGAGCAGATAGAAGATATTAGAAACCCTGGTGAGAAAATAAACCCAATGTTTTAAAAAGTAACATAAAACAAAACTTCGTTGTGATTACAGTATCACTGCATTATTGGCAAGAATTAGGATTGATATCACTGAAGGTTGTAACTATAGCAATATTCACCTTCCAGAGCACTCCATTTACTAGATGGAATATGGTACGAGTATATATTAAATTGAGATAGAAATTAATCAGAGACCTTAGCCACTTGAGCCATCATGTCCAGAATATCCTTGCAACTGTTCGAGCTCAAGTAAACCCGCATTCGTTGCATCAAATCATCAAAGCTACATACATCTTTCAACGACTCCCTCAACTTCATATACCTCGAATTCGAAAACTCAGCTTCGTTTTCGACGACATCACCACTTGGAGTTCCCCAGGACAAGTCTCTCTGCCTCTTCGGACATCGCCACATCGTGTCGACTCCCACTGCAGCACGAGGATTGCAATCTCTCTTCCCCTTCCCCCGCATTCCGGCGCCATTCCCATCGTCGCCCACGGGCCAATCACATCCGCATGATTTCGGGTTTTCAAACAAGAAATTGAGCCAAAGCGTGAGAGAATTAGCTAGAGATTTCAGAGATTGTTCCTTCTTCACTTGAGCCTTTCGGGAGGACTGTGATTGCTCGAGCTCGAATGCCTTGAGTTTGCGGGAGGCCTTGGACCGGGCAGCGGACGATGAAGGAGCCAGAGAAGGTCGCGGGCGACGATGTGAGGAAGAAGCGAGAGGGGTTCTCTTAGAAGCAGAGAACAACTGGTGAGAAGGAGATCGAAGATTGGAAATGTGGGATGGGCGCCTGGGGGTTTTGAAGTTTGAGATGTCTTTGAAAATCGAAGCCGGAGGAGGTTTAAAAGGTGAAGGAGATGGACAATGTAGCTCTTGTCCTTCCATTGCTGCTTAGCTTGGTTCTCTGCAACTTCGATTCGAAAATTTTCGTGTTCTTACAGACAGGAATCGCCTGAGAAGGAGAAAAAGAGAACGGAAGTTGAAGCTTCTCGCGAGCGTTTGAATTCGAAATGCGAGGGAGAGACGCAGAGCATACAAAATAAACAAAATAAATCTATTATTTTTTTAATAAGATAAAATTATTTTCCAACGGGAAACTTCATATTTCATAAAAGTGACTGGAGAGCAGACCCATCTTTCTAAATAGTTTTCTATTTCTTACAATCAAAATTATGTAAAAATACATTTGTCAGCTATTTTTTAGAAAACAATTGTTCTTTAAACTAGTTTCTTTATAATAAATAGAGTTGTTTTTTTTTTTCCTTTCAAACTTATGAATTTATGAATGGTTACTTTAATGTATGTAATAATATTAAGGAAACTTTTAACGAGTAGCATACTTTTTTAAAAATATTTAGAAATGTGTATTCTTATAAAAGTAATTGCAAATATGTGGCTTTTATAAAATTCTAAATATAACTTTTTAGAAAAGGTATTTACTAACAGAGGAGAATCCTTGGTATACCAACATTATCTTAATATCAACTTCTTTACTCTAAAATTTAAATATAATATTAAAAACAATAACTTAAACAGTTTAAAATCTCCTTCTAGTCTTAGTATTAGTATCTTTAAAATTTATATTTTTTGATAGATATGTTATTGTTGAGGAACCAAGTATTTTCCTATTTTATTTGCAGTTCACTCAAGTTAAATAAATAAAAAATGCACTTTTTTTTTTTCTGATAGGATAAGAGGGATGGTCTTTACTTCAAATTGATGTAATATTGCTATAAAGCATCTTGCTCCAATCAATGTTTTGAATGTTGGTTAATTTGGCGTTCTCCCATAATATCAATGTTGATGAATGATGCATCAATGAATTTTACTATCAATGTTGCAGCTCAATTAATAGTTAAGATATTTGTACCTTCTCTTAAAGTTCGAAAGTTTCAATCCCACATTGGTTTGATTGAGAAAGAGACAGAGTAAAAAGAAACTCGGCGAAAGTCGAGTTGGAATTCAGAAGTTCTTCTGGCAATCTATTTTGTCACTACCAAAAAAATACTAGACAAAACCACCAACAAGAACATCAATAGATAAGCAGAGGGAACAAAAAAAAAAATACAAGGGGTTGTCGAGTACTCAGACACACTTAACACTTTGATACTGAAACATAATATTTAATCTAACAGAAATCCTTCTTTGCACGTTTAGACCAAATAATAAACAGGATGTACAATAAGTTCTTACAATGAGTTCTTCAAATCAGACAACGCCCAAAGAAGAGTTTCAAACGCTCTCTCAGCCAGCAGCAGCAAACAGCTTCGTCTTTCTGGCATGCCATGCCACAGCAGAATGCTACATCAGGCCCAGCTTTTCATGCTTTTTTTCTTTCAGTAAGAATCCACAACTCCCAGATATTAAAAATACAACCCCAAGGAGGTGAAGCAGTGTTCAGAATGCAAGATGAATAAAAACTAGCGAATGGGGTGATACTGGGCTGATATTCTCTTGGGAGGCAATTTGCGTAATATGTAAAGAACTAATGCTGAAGGCAGAATTTCGACCAACTGTAAGTTCAGCAAAATGATTTATGTCAGCCCAGAATTAGAGTATGCCGAGATCAGAAATAATGCATGAACAAGCTTAGTATGGTGAAGTGAAGTACCAAGTAGAAGGTGAAACTCAGAACGGGGTGATCTAAGACATCAAGTGATGCATCTGCATCGAAAGCGGATAAAGCAACCTGCACTCAACAGTCATAAGGAATATCTTATGAATCCCATGCACCATCATAAAAGCAAGAGAAATAACATAGCAGCCAGCAAGCATAAAAATCATTCTAACATCTAAACGAGTATATATTCAACAATTGCTTAAGTTAGTATCAGAAAAGTTTCGTTTCTTCAACCACAGATTTCAACTCATTTACGATATTTCCTTCCCTATGCTTAAATTTAGCATTCCCTAAAGACTTTTCTTTCATTATTGGCAAAATCAGGAGCTTGAATCGCACCACAAAGCATCGAATGAGGAAGCAGGTAAAGCATATGGCGGTCACAGATCCAACCTACAAATTGAAACAGAAAGAGTATTAGAAAGCACTGTAAGCATGATTAGACGGATCCATAATAACATGAAGTACAGCTAACAAGCCTACAAATACCATGACAGATCCAACTTTAAATAATTGATGGAGTTTGACCAGATAATTTGTTTATATATAATTTATAAAAGCCATATCATCAGTTATCAGAATATTACATGCAGATATGAAAGATAGAAATCTTGATAAGTAACATAATTATTTCGATACAATAGGCAGAACAGGACGTCTGGGGTTACAGCATGATCAAGGAATAACAAACAATGTACCTCATGAAGTTTCTTCCTTCTCCCTTTAGATTCAATTGGAAAACGTCTAAGCATGAAAAATAATCTAAACATTTTCATACAAGAATATTAGTCAAAAGGCAATCAAAGATCATACAAAATTAAAATGCATGAAATGAAATGATGTAACCATCTAACATGAAGCAGATACTCACCTTCCACCATATATCAAGAAGCCTACTGCAGCGATGAATGACACCACTGGGAAAATGAAATATGCAAGCAATGGTTAGAAATGTAAAAAGATTTGACTGGTAATGTAAAAATTATCTTCTAAGAGAAGAGAAAGTGAAGATTAAATCTACAAAACTTTAACTCTTGTATACAGGAAATGACTCACTGAGTACAAAACTAACCTGCAATGAAGATTTTTCCAATGAATTCTACCACACTGTTGTCATCCATCCCAATGTATATCCAAATGCAAACCTATGAACAGGATAATTTTTAACTTTGAGTTGAGTTCAATACACATGATAACATGATAAAGCAAAATCCCTCCTTAGGAACATTGTTAAAAGTTAGGTCCTTGAACCACACACTCTAGAGTCATGTGACATGAGCCCTATAGCATAACAAACAACTTACAGGTAAAATCCTCCACAATGGAAAAAAATTCACGACCCATCTCTCACATTAGAAACAATATTGCAACAAAAAGACTTCTGACAGTTAAGGGAAAAAGCAGATGAAGACAATCTATTAATTTTAACCCTCAGCCCTTAGTTTGTCCCCTTTTTTGTTTCGGATTGAATACACTTGTGTCTTTTTTATTAGAAAAAACAATCTATTAATTTTCTATGGAGCACTCGACGCAATAAGGGAATTAAAACTCCATTTTAAGGATATTAATAACTAAGATCGACCATCTTAGAGAGTCCTAATCAATACTATTGCCTCTATTTCCATTATAGCAAAATAACATCTGAACACGAGGGTTGAAACTAACAGAAAAAAGAACAAAGACAGGGTAGTGAACATTAGTAATGATAAATGGATTGCAGCATAAGTCTTATATTACAAGCCTCTAGAAGCAAGAAACATATTTCCCTGCTTCATACGTACAAACGAGGCTGAAATTTTGCAACAACACAACCAATACCAGGACTTTCCTCCCACCCTTCGAAATAATATTCTAAATTCAGTCAAGGATTTTAAAGTAATAATTGGCTAGTGATTGAATTTTGAACAGGGTAGCAAGAGTAAGTGGTTTTAAAAATACCTGTATAAGATATACCACGCTGTTGACAGAAATGTAAACTGTTCTGAGTTTATCTGTTGGCAAACTTCTTGCCTGCTCATAGAAACCCAATCGATGAAAATTAACAATCCGTATTATGCCCAAAGTGATGACAATATCAATGATACCTCAGCCCCTCAAAAGAGGGGCGCCTTGATTGCAAGGGAAAAAAATAAAAAAAATAAAAAAAGCACAAAGCAAAGCATTAAACAGAACTTGCCTGGTGGTATATCTCTGCCCAGAAGAGGACAAGGAGTGTGTATGTAGAGAAAAAAAGAAGTCCAGGAAGATCCAATAATAACAATAGGAAAACCTGGTTCATAATTGGTTGCCATACGTTAGTGCACAAAGCTTTTCAGAAGAAATAGGAATAAGGACAAAAAGGAGGGAAGGAAAGAAACTGAGGTACCATTCGCAAATGGTGTTAAAAACTTGTTATAAAAAATTTTAAATAAGATTTCTCTCGTTAAAAAGTTGCTTCCAATTGATCTGTTTACAGGATAGCTCTTAACTTGAGAATAACTCTCAATGTTCTAACGAACAAATCGAAAAGTCACAGGCCATAAACAATAGGAGAAGTTCAGTAACCTATAAACATTTTAAGAGCTCCATTTCACAGATAAGTTCCAAAATTCTTCCATAAAAAACACACCACAACGTGTAATCTTTTATACAGATTTTCATAACCTCATTATTTAGAGAAAGATGATGCAATCTTTATATCTCTGAGAACAGCTGGGCAACAAAGAGATCAAATAATAATGGTAAATGTCTTTTTCCCTCTGTAAAAAAGAAAAGGAACTGAAAATCCGAGTCCAGGTAAATCCCAAATTATACTAAAGATTCAGATATTGCTCAAGTATCACAAATGGATGAGTGATATTATTAAATCTTCGGATATGCTCAAGTAAATTTACCTTTGGTTGCAAAAGAAATACTTGCTTGTGAAGCCCAAACAAAATTGCGCGTACTGAATCATGGAGAAAATTTTGAAATTATCAGTCAAAACCTTATAATGTCTCCATAGGTAATAAAGTTGAACGAGATTCTTATATTACCTCCATTGACAATGAAGTTCATGAGGTGGAAAACTTTCTGTGTTGTCCAACCATATTCAGGAACTCTCAGTTCGATCCTTATCAATTGAATCTGCACACACGATTCACAAACTAAGTTCCGCATACCCACAACCTAAACCTAAATCTCTACTTCTACAGCTCTACTTTTCTCGCCCATTCTTACTGGTATGAACAATAAGGTTTGCCATTGGAAGCTTAAAAAAGTTCTGGTAACTTAGGTAAAAGCATTTAAAATCCAAGAACGGGAATTCAATATTGGGAGACAAAAATTATACTTGAAGAAGTATGAAATTTAGATTCTCCTAGAGGTCCAATAAATAAAAACATAGTCGCTGGCATCTATCAGTACGGAAAAGAGTTATAATTCTAGAACATGGCAACGCATTCAATCCTACCAAATTCAGTCAATTACGAAGAAAAACAAATAGCAATTCAAGAACGAAAGCAATAACGGATTCTCGAACACAGCATAGTAGATAGTTTAAATAGTTGAGGCACGGAAAGGAAGAGAGAGACCAGAGCAACGGCGGAGACAAGCGCATAAACAGCACAGAGAGAGTATAAAATCCGATCCTGCCAAAAAGTAGTTTCGTTGATCTCATCCCACCAGCTGGAAACGGTAGCTCCCATCTCCATGGGCGTCGTCAAGTTCAGTAGCAATCTCGACATTGTCCGACGAAATAGTAAAGAAACTTTCTCACTATCGCCCTCCCTCTCTGCCGTAGAGTCAAAGAACCGAAACCCCAATGATTTGGCACGACCAGCGAACGCCGGCGAGACGGCCGCCGCAGCACCGGCGAGGAAAGAGAGGGCAAATGAGAAGAAGCAAGGGATTTTTCTCCTTGTTTTTTCTTTCGCCCCTCAAATTAATTACTTGGTCGCTGTTTCCGAGGCAATCAATTCACAATTCACAACTCACGAAGGCGGTAGAAGAGAACAATTCTACCAATGCTTCCCTCCATACAATTATAAATACGTGCTCCTATTTTTTGTAGCTTTCGGAATTCCGAATGCCAGGCTGGGGTTTTCTTTTTCTTTTTTTTTCTTTTTTTTTTTAAATTACAGGTATTAAATTAAGTGAATTGCCGAATGGTTATTGGCTGTTTAAATCGAATGGGAATTAGGAACCGGACGGCTTATCTTTTTAATTTTTAATTCTCTTTCTTTAATGGTAACGAATTCAAATATATTCAGAAGGTGGGGAAATATATATTGGGAAGTTCGAATTTGTTTTGTTTCTTATGATTTACTAGTTTATAAATTTTTAATCAAATTTTAGAAAATTGAGATGGTGGCGATTTCTTTGTTTTTTAAAATTTTAATTTACGAAAACAATATTTTTATTTGCAAAACAAAGCAACTCATGCATACAAATACTTTATATGTTTAACTTTTCGCTTTTTTTTTTAAGTAATTTTGAAATTTCAGTCAAAATCATGAAACAATTGCATGTTTTTCGAAAACCGAATTTTGTGGATTTTTTAAGTATTTTTTAAAGTATGTTGTAGAATAGATAAATAAGCATAAATTTCTTCAAAGGCGTACGTAAAAGTTAAAATCAACAGTTTAAAAATTGTATTTGAGCTTTTTAATTTATGTAATGTTAAAAAGACAAAAAAATTGTTTTTTTGTACAACAAAATTTTGTTAGTAGATAACCGTAATTTTTAAAATACATCTTTTATAATAAAATTGATTGATTTTTTTAGTTTGATATTTGAATTTATATTAAATAATAACTTTTTTATTTTATTGGAATCGATATCGTGTAGCTTATTCTAATAGATTCTTTCCTACCATCAAAGTTCGTTGCTTAGAGAACAACATTGTAACTGTACAGAGCTCAAAGATAATAAATTTATTTTAAAATTCTTAATACTCATATTTGTAGACAGTATCCATGAGCATATTATACAATTTTATAATATGGTACGTTTTTTGACGTGCTTTCTATTTATGCGTTTTTATTGTTTTTGTAAATTTGAAAATGGTTACCGGAAAATGTAAATTATCTCATTTTTTTTCATCATGTGTATGTGTATGTCATGTTGGTATTAAGTTATTGTTTGATCCAACTTTGACCTGCTACTAATAGTAAAAATTTAATTTAATTACCAAGGAGTTATTGACTTTTTCTATAGACGGAATATTTGAATTTTCAACCTATAATTATAACTATAATGTTAGGTTGTCTCTTTAAAAAGTTTCCACAAATATAATACCTATTCTAAATTAAATAATATATAATCTATAGTCCATGATTGTTTGATGATCCTATTGTATATATATTTATCAAAATCTCTATAAAAATATTATATCATATTATATCACAAGTAAGACGATGAAAGTTTAAATTCACAACATCAATGTACAACTACCTCCAATCACTAAGTTATTCCTTGGTCGACAATAATCATCTTAATTAACTATTACTTCTATACATGTTTGATTAATAGATGTATAATTGAGCATCTATATACATATAACCAAACAAATTTATGATGTGCATAGTTGAAATTGATGAATAAATCTGGTGGATATATAACTCAACTAGTCAACGTCGTAAAATTTAGAGGTTAAAATTATCCCACCTCGTTGTTGAAGTCAAAACAAAAAAGAAAAATGGTAAATGTTACCATGTGATTTAACTTTTTTGAGCATATATATTATAGATTACATTAAAATGACAAATATGTTATGGGTAACTTTAACTTCTTTAAAGTATTAAGTCATATTTTTATTATAACAATAATTATTTAAAATAAAAATTTGGATCAATTCAAAAAAATAAAAATTGATATTTATCAAAATCTGATAGGTTTTCATATGTAAATATATATATATCTATATATATATACCTACCTTTTATTTGAGCCCAAAATCAATACTCATTGATCGGTGTACCATGGGATTAGTATTAAATGGATCATCACTTTTTTTTTTTCTTTAACCATCCAAATACCGTTAAACATTTTAGTGACGATGTTGGAGGGTAAAATTAAACTTGTCTCGTGAAGAACTAGGAAAGATCGATATGTTAAGCTATTTTCTCATAATTTCGATGAATTGATATAATCGACCTTGAAGCTCGACCAAGAGGTACACAGTAAGTTCAGTGAAACTCTACTTGATTGAACTAATGTCATAAATCTAACATTAGTGACTCGACAAATTGACTTTGTGCAACAGATTTTCGACAGCAAAATTAAATGGTCGGGAGTCACTATCATCTTACTCCCTATATCATTTGAGCGTCGTAGTGTTTACTTCACTTATGCAGAACTTAACCATACCCAATCATATCACTCTTCAAACCAAATCATAATTCATCATAAACAAATGATATTAATGAATCAATTTCATATAAGACATATTAAACATTAAAAAAGTAATGACAGTAATTTATTAAAGTTAAGAAGTTGTACAACATCGTGGAACAAATTGATATACTAATTAAGGTAAAAAAAAGCTAATTATGTAAGTAATTAATAAGGTTTTATTACGCGGAGGTGAAAACCATATGTATTATATATTAATAGGTAACACCCTATCACCATCGGATCCGTGGCGCAATGGTAGCGCGTCTGACTCCAGATCAGAAGGTTGCGTGTTCGATTCACGTCGGGTTCAAAATTCCCGATCTTTAACGGATCGTTTTTTTGCCCTGACAATTTTTTCTTTTTATTTTCTCGATTAAAAAAACGAAAATAGTAGTTTTCACTTTTCACGAGTTCTCGATCTCCACCGTCAATTCTGCAGACTTTTCAATTTTCGATAGCCAAGGACGGCGAAGATTAAAGGGCTCACCCAGCACAGGATCGCAAAATCCGCCTTCGTCTTCAAGCTCCTTCCCAAAACCCTAGACCTTCATTTCTCTCACTCTTTCTCTGCTAATCATTCCGGCTCGCCATGGCGCTTCTCAATCGCCTCCGCCACGCCTTCCCTTCGAACTCGACTTACATGAACTATCGTCTTCACTACCGATCTCTCTCGTCAATCCTTTCCCCTGATTCCGCTAATCCTATGTCAGCAAAACAGAAATCAAGGGCCGCACTTTCCCTGCTGAAAGCCGAAGATAATCCTGAGCGTATAATCGATATTTGCCGCGCCGCTACTCTCACTCCAGAATTACACCTCGATCGCATCGCTTTCTCTGTTGCCATTTCCAAGCTTTCAGAGTCCAAGCACTTCGATGGAATTCGCCGGTTCCTTGAGGAATTGAAGTCTCGCCCCGACCTCAAAAACGAGCGTTTCGCTTGCCACGCTATTGTTCTCTATGGTCAGGCCAACATGCTTGATCACGCTATTCGTGCTTTCAAGCAAATTGACGAACTGGGTGTGCGTCACTCGGTGAAATCGCTCAACGCATTGCTCTTTGCTTGCAATTTAGCTAAGGACTACAAGGAACTGAAGCGAGTTTATATGGAGTTCCCTAAGATTTATGGAATCGAACCAGATCTCGAAACGTATAACAGAGTAATTAAGGCGTTTTCAGAGTCGGGTTCGTCGAGTGCTGTGTATTCGATAGTGGCGGAGATGGACAGGAAGGATGTCAAGCCAAATGCGACCACTTTTGCGAATTGGCTGGCTGGATGCTACAAGGAAGAGAAGTACGAGGATGTTGAGAAGGTAATAAAGTTGATGGAAAAATATGGCGTGCGGCGTGGAGTTGGTATATATAATGCAAGGATACAGAGTCTTTGTAAATTGAAGAAGTCCTCGGAGGCGAAGGCCTTATTTGATGGGATGTTGTCGAGAGGTATGAAACCAAACTCTGTCACATACTGCGAATTGATTCATGGGTTCTGTAAGGAAGGAAATCTGGATGAAGCTAAGAGTCTCTTTAAGAGAATGATCAACAGCGGTTGCCAACCGGACAGTGATTGCTATTTCACTATGGTTTTCTTCCTTTGTCGTGGAGGGGATTATGAAACAGCATTAAAGATCTGTGGGGAAAGCATGGAGAAGGGGTGGGTTCCAAATATTACTACAATGAAGTCTCTTGTTGATGGGCTGGTTAGCATTTCGAAGGTCGAAGAGGCAAAGCAACTTATTGGGCAAATCAAGGAGAGGTTCTCAAAGAATGTTGAGAAGTGGAACGAAATTGAAGCCGCATTACCTCAGTGAAGAAATTCTGGGGTAATGTGAAACCACCATCTTCAATACCAAGCGAGCGTTGAGGGAAATACTAGAGAATGCGGCATATTCTTGGCTTAAACTAGTCACCCTCTGCATATGTTTTACATTGGTACAGTTAATTGTTTTGAAATGAAGCTGTACTCAAAAGGGAATTTTTATGACATTGGTTATGCAGTCAAGTCCACTTCTGAGAGGACATTTTATCCTTGACGCAGAGCCAAAAGAATTCTAATGTCAAGTTTTATGCTCTATCTTTTCTGCTGGTTGAAATTTGTAATGCTGTAGTTATGTGAATTCTCTCGCTATTGGTAGGTTTTTCCATCTGCTCAAAGACGTGGGAAAATGGGCTTGATATGTGGTGGTGGCTGTCCTGTTAGCAATTTATTTACTGACGGAAACCAGATTGTTTTTAAGCAATTTTGTATGTCAATAAAGAGAGAAACTTGACATTGGTTTATTTAATTTGGTGGTTCGAGGGGTCTTCAAATTTAGTCATTATCTTTCTTGTATAGTTCATGTTCACCAACTCTTCGCGTAGTGAATTTAGAGAGGAAGCAATTTGTCGGCTAAAATGCTTATATTTCTTCTGCATGTCTTTACTGTGATTTTGGATTTATGCAATTGTCTTACCTGAAATGGGTTACATTACAAATGTATTTGCTCAACCTTGTGTACATTTTGACGATTCATTCCATGGGGAAATACAGGTGGTAACTTGAATGAAATCATATAAATATTTACTGCGATTCTGTTCTACAGACTACAAATTGAGAGGATAAGGCACGGAAACTTGAATGAAATCAAGAACTCTTGAATCTGTGGTTTGGGGTGGCTGGAAAGAGTAGTGAAGACTGCAATATTGAAGAGGTTATAATATTTTCAAGCATCAAATCACGTCTTGCTACTGTTTCTATCCCTCTTTTTCTTTCTCATGGATCCGCAAGGAGAAAATTTGAATATTTTCTTCAAAACTGGATTACCTTGATGGTTGAAACTGCTGATTGATTCCCTTTTTCTCTGGCTCATTTTACTCATGAACTGCAGACTATGGGCGCCAGGGTCTCATTCGGATCCTTTGAAGTTTCCTTCAAAATTTGGAAACGCAAGTCTTAGAAAGCATTAGCAAGTAGAAACATCAAATAACTCGCATTTAGGAAGCTGCTTGGTGGGCTTCTCTTGCTAATCCCTGATGATGATACATATTGAGAGGATTGTGAAACCATCATCTACATATGCAAGCTGTTGAAATCATTCTGAAGGATCGTATAATTGAACCCAGAAATCTTATTCAGCCGATTGCTTCCCGAGACATCGAAAGCCGAGCAAATCTTCGTGATGAACCGATTGCCGATTCTCTTCTTCTTCCTTCGCCATGACATTACTGTATGCCAGAAAGTTGGCGGGGAACTGCTGCGGCGGCTTGAAGAAGCCATGTCATTGCCGCTGCATCTTTCAAACTCAATTTTGGCGAAATAGTCAATTTCCTTCTTGACTAGTGAGCCCACAGTGCCTCTAGTTCCTATGGCCACAGGAGCAGTTGCAGCCATTTCTTCAAGGAATTTGCAGAATGTGGTGCTGGGTTTGCTATGTTGCATCTTTTTAATGTAAAATGAAAGAAATGGAAGAGGGTTTTTGGATGGAGGATTTGATGTCGTTGTGGGTCCTTTTCCCTTTCCTGAGGCTGAGGGGCGTGGGATTGCTTGCTTTGAGTCTACGCCATCTGTTCTTTGATCTTTTCATAAAGCCATCCATTGAAGCAAAGTGCTTTATAAGAGTCTGCAGCATCAGCGTGAAATTTTGGTATAATATTCCATTTTTCTGCATGTTCTCACGAACCATCGCACTGCTTCCTTCCCCTGTAGTGGAGAGATTATATGATACCTTCTCTAATAATTTGGTTGTTCACATGATTTTAAATATTAAAAAAAAAATCTTTTTCAGAGTACTTGTTTCAAAGTAATTCTAAATTTATGGATAAAATATTTAGATTGTCAAATTTTAAATGGTGATTCATATAGAGGAAGGTCAGTTACGACTTAGGTATTTTATAATTTAGGGTGGACTGTCTTTTTAAAAGAGTGATTTCAGATTATTTTCATATCTAAAAGATGATTTCTTAAAAGGGTCTTTACAAGAGAGGGTTTACTTCAAATTATTTTATTTAAGGAAATAATTTATCTTTATATTGAACAAAAATGCTCTATTCTTGTCGGTACTTTTAGAAATCTATTATTTTTTGGAAAGCACATTAATGATATCAAATATGCCATGATTTGGATGTGCCTTTTATGTTTGGTTTTTGAGAACAGAATAACATTTTTAAAATATAAAACTAAGATCAATGCTATAAAATAAAAGTGGCTTGATTGATTTAGTGAATAGAATATACAATGCATTTGAGTTGTGAAGATTTCTCCTGCACCATACACTACAGGAACCCACACCCACCAATTATGCCTTCCTTGACATTGTTAGGTGGCCATACTTTGGCTTTGATCATGTCTTTCCCATCTTGCCCCTTTGCTTTTTTTAGGGTTAGGAGTCGGGCTTTGTCCATCACCAATTCATTAAGCCAGTGCACTTTTAAGATTAAATTAAACAAGTGGAGGTTGATTGGTTATAAGTTTAGTTCGATATTTTTTAGACTTTGTGTAAATATTCCTTAACAAATTATTAGACACAAAATTAAGTTTCAAGGACACTTTTGAAGTTTGAAAATTCATTATACCCAGTACTAAAGAAAAAATATTTGTTAGATACAATTTTAAAAATTTAACGACTAAACTTGTAATTTTATCTTATTTTGAATAAAAGAATCAAATCATGAGATTAAATAAAATAAAAAATTAAGTGAGAAGAAGACAACTTGATTATGCTCTAATGACAAAATATCATGTTATATATCATATATTATTATCGTAATCATCGAGTTAATGAAAGTATTGTTCAAGTTGTACTGTGAGGTAGATGGATTTGAACCGCGGACCTCGATATAAGAAAGATGTAATTTACCAATGAATATACATCCATCTTTACTATTTCATATGTGTCGGAGTCGATGTTTTTAATATGTGAAAGAACAGTTTCATACTAGATCATTTATCAAATCAAGTAATGTAATGTGACTAACTTTTAACACATCTTAGTGGCTAAGATACTTCTGTCTCATTTATAGAATATCAACTGTAATACTTTTAATTTTTAAATTTAGCGTTACTTGGTGCATAGATAATATAGGTTCAAATTTATTTCCTTGCTTTTGAGTTTTGGCACCACATGCACATTCCATTTTGCTTATCTTACAAACACAAATCCTCTATGATGGATGGTAATTCACTGGATTCTGTACCCTTCCTCCAGTAACAAATACAAGCGTAGTAATCAGAAATCAGCACTCAGAGAAGAGGATTTATGTCCATTTACATTTGAAATTTTGCCTAAACAAAGTAAATGATTGAACAAAGAAGAGCAATAAGAAAACCTTTTGAGTGCGCCTTATATCTATAGCATTCAAAAGATAGCTATAATGAACACAAAATAAAAGCCTCAAAATTGAATCTTCCCTTTTATTTTCTTAAATATTCTCTATACTCCATAAAAAACCATCTACTAGCCGACTACTTCTCTCGCCCCTCTATACTCTAAAGCTCATTTATTTTTACTCAAAAAAAAAAAAAGCTCATTTATTTATTTCAGTATGAGTGAGATTGATCAACATCCTATTGGGCACCAGGGAGATGGCATGTATACCTCAACTTCCGATGCGAAGCAAGAGCATGGCGTAAAGCAGCATTTACGCTTGCACCCTCCCGGAATAACGAGTCATACAAGTGGCAAACAAATTGGGAAATTCCCCCCTCATCATCATCCCAGATATCCGTAGAATAAGTTCCAGCATCACTGTCTTCCCAGTCACTTATGGGACTGGAAGGCTCAGCGTCATCGTCTTCTCCCTCATCTTCACCAATCTCGAACTTCCCATTTTCCATGGCATCAAAATCCATTGACTGGAATGTTGACGATGGCATTTCGGGGGGTTCGGTTGAAGAACATATGACGGCTTTGGCCCCAGAATCCAGAAAGGCTCTAATTAAAGCTGGGATCGGCCCATAAGTCCCTGTGCAGAAAATGATCCTGTCCCTCCAAGCACCAACCTAGAGCAAATTCAGAAATATGAACAATGAGTCGGCCACGTAAATGGAAAAAAGGCTACAAGCGGATCAACTTCTTATTACTTGTACAAGGAGAACCATGTATTTAGAGAAAGCTACCGATTCACTCTCCATTCCTCAACCAAGCAAAGGGAAGGACGAACTAAGCTAATATAGAAGCTTCTATCCACCAAACCTCTACATTACCTTATCTTGAAGCTTATTAAAAAACTATCTTTAAAACTTATACGTCACTAATAAGACACGGGTATAGGTTCAGCAGAAAGCATACATCATGGGAAAGGCAGTGTATCATTAACATACTTTCCAAAGTATTTTATAAGTCCC